ACTGGACTTGGTTGAAGCTACTGGAAGACGTTTCGTCCCTTATCCAAAGGACTTCTTCAGTTCTGACTGACTGGCAGGGAAACTCAGCTATTTAACCTCAGTGGGGTCGTTATCCCGGGTCATCGATACCGCTGGTTCGTTAGTGTTCCTTGTTACTGTGACGACAGTCGTTACAGTCGTTAAGACTACCTGTGGCCAAGACTGAACACCATCGTTGGTATCTTCACCTGAGGCCAATAGGTTACGTTTGTTGAGTTTCCTGGGAAGTGATGAAAGGACAGCATTGTAAGTGGGGGATAAGTGGTGGCGTAGACCCCCTCCTCTGTTCAATGACGGCTTCTCAACCCTGGTGTAGATGCTTCCTTGACACCTCTTTCAAACCATCCATCTTCTCTGTCTAAAATGTGCACCTGGTGGTCCTCAAACGAGTGTCCTCTGTCCTTCAGATGTAAGTAGACTGCAGAGTCTTGACCTGAGGAGTTGGCCCTTCTGTGTTGAGCCATGCGTTTGTGTAGTGGTTGTTTAGTCTCCCCAATATACAGGTCTGTGCATTCCTCACTGCATTGGACCGCATACACTAGATTGCTTTTCTTGTGTTTGGGTGTGTGGTCTTTGGGGTGTACCAGCATCTGTCTTAGTGTGTTCTTGGGTTTAAAAAACACAGGGATGTTATGTGTGTTGAAAATCCTCCTGAGTTTCTCTGATACTCCAGACACGTATGGAATCACAATGTTGTTGTGTTTGACCTTCTTTTCCTCCCCTGTAGTTTTGTTCTTCTTGGATCTTGTGGCGGTTTTCACAAAGGTCCATTTAGGGTATCCACAGGCTGTAAGTGCCCCCTTCAGGTGGTTCTGTTCCTTCTCTCTGGCTTGGGCGCTTGTTGGTATGTTTTCCGCTCTGTGGTGCAGTGTTCTCATGACCCCTAGCTTGTGCTCCAGTGGGTGGTGTGAATCGAAGAGTAGGTATTGGTCTGTGTGTGTGGGTTTTCTGTAAACACCAATCTGCAGGCTCCTGTCCTCTTCAATGTGTACAGCGCAGTCCAGGAAGGCCAAACTGTTGTTGTGAACATCTTCTCGTGTGAACTTGATGTTACTGTCCACAGAGTTGATGTGTTCTGTGAAGGCTTGCACTTCCTGGCTTTTGATTTTGACCCAGGTGTCGTCCACATATCTGTACCAGTGGCTCGGTGCTTTTCCTCTGAAGGAGTTGAGGGCTTTATTCTCCACTTCTTCCATGTAGATGTTTGCCACAATCGGGGATACCGGTGAGCCCATGGCACAGCCATGCTTCTGTCTGTAGAATCCACCGTTGTACTGGAAATAGGTGGTGTTTAGACAGAGGTCGAGTAATTTGCAGATCTGGTCTGGGCTGAGGCTAGTTCTGTTGTCCAGGGTGTTGTCTTGTGTTAGCCGTTTCCTAACGGTTTCTACTGCCTCTATGGTGGGGATGCAGGTGAACAAAGAAGTCACGTCATAGGATACCATGGTTTCATCTGGATCCAGTTTTAGTCCTCGAACTTTGTTTACAAAGTCAATAGAGTTTTGGACGTGGTGAGGCGTGTTTCCCACCAATGGAGCTAAGATGGTGGAAATGTGTTTGGCAATGTTGTAGGTGACCGAGTTAATGCTGCTGATAATCGGCCTGAGTGGGGCTCCTTCTTTGTGTATCTTGGGTAGTCCATAAATGCATGGAATGGCTTCTCCAGGATACAAACGGTAATATTGTTCACGGGTGATGGTGTTGTCCTTCTGTAACTGTTGTAGACATTCTATGGCCTTTTTCTTGTATCCGCTGGTTGGGTCTCGTCTCAGTGTCTCATACGTGTTTGTGTCCATTAGTAGTGTGTTGTTGACTTTGTTCTAGTAGTCAGCTGTGTTAAGTACTACCGTGCAGCTTCCTTTGTCCGCAGGTAGGATAGTGATGTTTTGATCCTTGCTCAGGGATGTCACAGCCTTCCTTTCTTGGATGGTGAGGTTGGAAGGGGAGGCCTTCGCATTAGAAAGGGCTGCAGATACCTTTAGTCTGAGCTTTTCCGCTTCTGTTTCTGTTAATTTGTTTTTCCTAATGGCCGATTCTGTGGCTGTGATGAGGTCTACTATCGGTAGTTGCTGTGGTGTAATGGCAAAGTTTAATCCTTTGGCCAGAACGTCTTTTCTCTGGTTGGGTGAGTTCCCTATCTGACAAGTTTTTCACCCATCAGCTGAGTTTCCCTGCCAGTCAGTCAGAACTGAAGAAGTCCTTTGGATAAGGGACGAAACGTCTTCCAGTAGCTTCAACCAAGTCCAGTTGCCCTTCATTTTAACCTTCGTTGGATAATGAGACTGTAGCACTGTTTAGGTGTTGAACCAGCTCCTGGAGCAGACGCGGACTGATGGACATGATGAGACAAGTGAAATTAGGTCTACAGCCATGCTAGCGGCTCTGTGAGGCTCTACCACACAGACTGTACTTAAGACTAACATTCTAACATGCTCACAATGGCTAATAAGGCTGACATGCTGATGTTCAGCAGGTATAATATTAAACCATATTCACCCTCTTACCTGTAATACTGTTAGTACATTTCTATAAGTGAGAAAAGACATGCAGGCTAGGTTAATCGGTGTCTCTAAAAAATTTTCCTTAGGTGTGAATGTGAGTTTGAATGGGTGTTTGTCTATGTGTTGCCCTGCGATGGACTGCCGACCTGTCCGGGGTGTACCCCGCCTTTCGCCCAATGTCAGCTGGGATTGGCTCCAGCCCCCCGCGACCCTGTATGCAGGATAAGCGGTTGACGATGGATGGATGGATGGATGGTAGTTTTTTGTATCTGTGAACAGAGCCATGCTAGGTGTTTCCCTCTGTTTCCAGTCTTTATGCTAAGCTAAGCTAACCACGTCCTGTACTTAACACACAAACGTGAGATTGATGTCAATCTTATTTCACTCTCGGAAAGAAAGTAAATCATATTTCTCAAATATTGAACTATTCCATTAACTAAATTCCCTCAGAAGTCCCTGAGGGTCCCAGTAATCTGCTGTCAGTGTAGACCAGACTTTCGGAAAACATGTAGCCCAGATATGAAGCACGGACAGAGAGGATTGGAGTGTGTGTACAACGGCTTTATGCTCTAGTGATGGTGCGTGTGGATTAACGAGGATCACATAGGCCCGGTTAATCCCTCTGAATAGGACAGAGTTGCCGCTGTGTGACCTCTGACCTAGGGCTGGGCGATATGGCCTAAAAATAAAATCTCCGATTTTATTTACTTTAATTCAATTTACGATTTTTCCGATTTCCCCCCCTACTTAAGGAAAGCAATAAGGTTTGTTGGTCAGTGCGGCTTTGTTCATCGCGGAGAGATTTTCATATTCGGCTGGATGTCTCTGTTTCAGGTGTTGGAATAGGTTTGTGGTGCTGCTGCCTTTCACTGCGATAGGCTTTAGGCAAATGTTGCAGCGTGGTGTCTGTTGTTCCACATCTGTCGCAGCAAACCCATACCAGTTCCAAACAACAGATGACTTTATTCCTTTCTTGGGAACAAACTTCCCGCTCTCACCGGTAGCCATTTTGTCGCTTGCTGTTGCTGTTTAGTGTATGATGTTGTCGCTATGGGAAACGAACACTACGGAAACCCCGGGGAGCCAAAAATGTGCTATTACACAAAAACTCGATTTACTTATTTTTTAAATCGCCCGCAACAAAAAATTCGAATTAATTCATTCAATCGATTTTTCGCCCAGGCCTACTCTGACCCCACCAACAGGAAGTGAAATTCACCAATCAGAATCAAGGATGCCGTCAAGTGGCACACTCAGACATTAGTTTAACACGCTCTCCTTCTGTAACCCTTAGAAACATGGCTACTATTAAGTGGCCAGATGCAGAGCAGGAAGCAGAGGACTTGAAATGCCACAGACGTTTCCCATATTTAAGTCTAAGAATTGAGAATAATAAAAATGAGAATTAAAGAGAATTAAAGGGCTTCAGATGAGTTCATGTTATGTGGGAGTATAAATTATAACAGTGTCTGTTTCCTGTCTCCTGTTACTTTATCTGAGTAAAACAGTGACTTCAATGCAGAAGAACATATTTTTTAAGTTTACATTCTCTCTATTCAACAATCAAAAATGGCAGCACTGGAAATACAATCAGAACACTAACAGTAGTGTTGTAGCCTAGATAAACAAATTGGTATTTAGTATTTGAGTGTTACACAACACTGAAAGATAGAATAAGAATTTGCATTATTTCCAAAAAGGGAAATGAATGTACAAAATACAACAAAATCAAGATTACAAATATGAATCATGTCCAGATACTAAGTCAAAGTATTTACTATCTCATAATTTTGTCCTGGTAGGCTGTCCTATAATTTTTTTGAAATTTAACTTGCCATCATGACTATCATATCATATCATATATCATATCATATATATCATATCATATCATTAAGTCAGTTTTTCTATTTTCTATTTCCATTTTATTTTGACTTATACCATTATTGAATCACCAACATTTTGATTTTATAATTAAAAATGGGCTGTCACACATATCAGCAATATCATGCTGCATTCAAAGCCTCCCTTGAAAATAAAGGGACATCCTACATTCAAATGGTTATGATAGGAAATTAAAGGCAATACCAGGCACTTGTGGCAACATACATCAGAATTTACAAAATATTACCTCAATCATTAGCTGTAGACGGAGCTGACGATAAAAGTAACTGTAAACCCTCATATCAGACGTTATTATCTAATGAGGCGCTTACTTTTTGTAAAATTTCCGACAGCACTTGAAGGCAGCACCGGCCTCAGGCACTCCATCAAAATGTCTAGACTGTGCAGATGATGCAGACCCCCTTTTAGACTGACATCAATCTGATTGGACAATACTCCTCATCCCGCCTCTAAATATTTGATTGACAACCACTTGACCAATAGGAACAGGCGACGAATCTATCATCTAACTTGTGATTGGTGAGGCGGTCCGGAGAGAACATGAATGGCAACTTGTATTGTTCGACGTCTTCCCAAGACAGTGGCAACTTTGCGGTTTCCAACTCGGGGAAAGTCCTTTAATAGTTGTCTTTCATCGTTTCGCTTTTACATTTTACCGGCAAAGTTTGTCGGTAGTAATGTCGGCACATGAAGAGGATTTAGAAAAATAATTAATAGGTTAACATTGCGTCAAACGAAGCTAACTGTTGAGCGTAAGTAACAGTCATGTTGTGTTAACGTTATCCCAGCTGGGATTTAAATGGTTAACGCTAAACTCCGTTAGCTGAACTAGCTAACTTATTTGCATTTACAAGCTAAAAACATTCTTCCAACTCTGTTATACTAAGTTGCCGAAGGTTTGAAGGTAATAGTTTCAGTCAGTCCTCTGCAATATTTATAAAAGCAGGTGTTACTAATAATAAACATAATAAGGTTACCCGTTATCTTTTAGATTCCCGTTGTTCAGCTGGCTGTGACCAGACTCCGTATAAATCTTGTAACCAATTTAAGTCATGAGTGGCTTAATTAGATTTATTGCACTGACTTAAGTTATTTAAATATGTGTTATGATTCGATATAATATTCTTCAATTCGGCATACAACCAGTATTGAAAGAAACTTTATTTACTATAGCTTGGTTAAAACTAACTAGCTTGAACCTAACGTTAAGCACACCGTTGACACGACGGGGACGGTGACGACCAAAATCTAAAAGATTTTTTATCTGAAACATAGTGATACTTGATGGTTTACTCAGCTGCCGAATTAACGTGAAAATCCTGATAGATAGTCTGAAATTCATTTCCTATAATAACTTTTGGTTTCCCATTAACCGGTACAACGTTGACGTTAAATTAGACAATTTGTAAACGGACTTTCTGTCCACCGGAACTTGTTTAAATGCCTTGTTTGAATTGAACCACAGACCAGTGCTGGTGTGTGACAACTGGAGATGGGAGATCCGGAGCCTCCAGTGTTTGGGTCCCTGGAGGAAGAGCTGGAGTACTGGAAGGAACAGGCTGCCAGGCACCAACAGAGGTGTGTGTACCCCCCAAAATAAAATAAAGCTGGACCATGTGCACAGAGTAATTTCTTGGTTAGTTTGCCTGCAGTATTGTTTTTTTATACAACATAAATAAAATCATGTTTCAGGACTTCTGGGGCTCCGTAATAAATTCTGAAAATACAATCAATACCTATTCGCTGCTCTCCAGTTCAGTTTATAGAAATGTGAGTCTGTAGACACTCCTGTAGCACAAACAAATGTGAACCTCAGAGTGTTTTCCTATTAAACACATTTCTGTGATGTTTAGACTTTCGAGTTTAATCCATAGTGCCCAGAGCTTTCTGAGGTTAGGTGGGAAAATTATCAGGTTATGTTGATTGTCCAAACTTATCTGGTTTAGAATTATCCTGGCAAAACCTTCTCTTAGACATCTTGGTCCAATTGTTATGCTGAAATTTGAATCCAAACCAATAAACCAAACTGAATGATGGTTCAAATGATTTGCTGCGATAATATCCAGAGGTAACAAACACATAGCTAATATTCTATATTATTATTATTCATTATGTATGCAGTGCAGAGGAGGCCCAGGAGGAACTGCAGGAGTTTCAGCAGATGAGTCGGGACTATGAGGTGGAGCTGGAGACGGAGCTGAAACAGTGTGAGGCACGAAACCGTGAGCTTCTTGCTGCCAACAACCGCCTCCGCATGGAACTGGAAAACTACAAGGTGCAGAGGACTTTATCGGTTATCAGATACTGGTTAACTAGAGGACGTTTAGAAGTAATATGCAGGAAAAAAAGGTTCTGTTATGTGAGTCATTGTGTCTACATGGTTTTATAGCCAACACTGAAGCATAAAGCTGCGGTATCATAGTATCATGTCTTAACATTCAACCAACTGACCCATTTAGGGGATTTGACTGTGGATTTCCATATCCATCAGCTGATAGTAAGTTTAGTTTTATGGCCTGTGCTGAATAGACTTCACTGGTGCTCTTGTCTGAACACACACACACTTTCACAGAGGATTGATTCAGGGCAGAAGAAGGCAGCTGAGGGCTCTTGTTGGCCTTTGTCTGGCGGGGATGTCGGTACTTCCCATGAGACCTATCCCAGACATGTCATAGTTCCCTCGCCTGCTTTTCTCCCTTTTAAAAAAAACATCAATTTTTCCACATTACTGAGGTCACAAGAGGGATGTGCACAGGCAAAACAAACAGCAATAGAAACACAAAAACACTTTAAACTTAAAAAGAAGATGTGGAGACCGGTTGCAGTCTGGTGCCGGGTGCCGGGTGCAAGGCTGTAAGTGAGGTCATTGTGTTTGCGCCCCCGATCCACAATCCATCCTAACACGTGGTTGTGCACTTTTCAGTTTCTGTACCACCGCTTATCGCATGTTCTGCGCTTTAAATTCAAAGCACTGAAAGTTTGCATGACAAGGATTCAGTCGTAACAGTTGCCCCCCAAAGTAGGTGCAAATGTGGTGGAATAAAGAAAGACGTCATTGGTTGTTCAACAGGAGCTTGACAGATTTTCTCACAATAATAGATACTGTAAAACTTAATTAACAAAGCCTAGTCCAAATTAGACACCTGGCTCTTTTACTGACCCTGTGTGGCTACATGTTTTCACAGATAAACGCAGGTCTCGATTAGAAGCCTTGTTTGTTTTTTATAGAAGTTCTTTGGATGTATAAAACCTTTTAAAGCCCACCGGGTCGCCTGCTTCAGCTGAGCTACTTAGATTGTGCATACAAATATAAATGTTAATCAAACTTAAGTCAATATGGACATGCTACACGTTGTTAGATTGGTTAGAGTCTCTTCAGTTCAGTACAGTTAATTTTACGGGAACCATGAGCACCAGAGTATAATTCATTCAGACTTACCGGCATGGTAAACAAGAGAGATGAAAAAGACATGGTAACTCACTACTTTTTGAAGAGGTCATAAAGTCTGAATATGTGTCCGTTCCTTGATTATTTATATTCCTTTAGTCCTTAAGAACACACTGATCAAAAGAATCAAAATGTTTTGTTTCATAAACAGTAATCTAAGTTGGAATAAATACAGTAACCTTCGTAATCTCTCTCTCGCTAATGACATTTGTATTCATTATATTTATTACTGTGCGCCAGAGAGAAAGCTCCTCTGTGATTTAATGTTAAATAAATGAACAGATTTTACATATTTTATTTAGTTTTTGGTGTCAGGTCTAAGGAGGAAATGGGAAAATATTCACTCATACATAAAATTAAATTCAGTTTAGATACGTGGATAAACTATTAATAAGAAATATGACAGTGTTTACCTGTGTTAAGGTGAAAAGGGGGGGAAAGGTTTATCTGTATGACCAGTATGCAGACACTTCATGGACAAGTAATGTGTAGAAATATGCAGCTTGTGATTAAAAAAACACAACCAGCAACACGGTTACGATGAATCCTCACAGGGTCTGTGAATGGTATTGAGCCTCCTGAAGTTGTCATCCATGTTTTCATTATGTGTTGATGTTAAATATTCTGTCAGTGCTACAAAGCTAGATGTATAAAACACATGATGTTTGGGCACCAAAAGTGTTTTTCCTGGTAAGGCACTATAAGCCTTCAGGTTTTAAGAAGAGTTAATGTTAAGCTTTCATTAGCCGGATATACTAAAGTGTTTGTTTTTTGTTAAATTAAATTGCCTCAAATGATTGAAATATTTAAATAGTTCTATCAAATATCCATTTAGCAGTTATAATTTGAAGTGGAAGTTCCCCCCCCCTTTGTAATCTATCCTTTTTTGTTTCATATTCTTTCCTCTCCTGACACTGTGGTCGACCTCCTGACAGGAGAAGTATGAGACTCAGCACTCGGAGGCCTTCCGGCAGATCTCCAGCCTGGAGGGAGACCTGGCTGAGACCACAGCCATCAGAGACCAGCTTCACAAATACATCAGAGAGCTGGAGCAGGCCAACGATGACCTGGAGAGGACCAAGAGGTCAGAGGGCGCTCACACAGAGATGATGGAAGACAACTTAAAGGATAATTTCTGTATTTTTAAACCTGGGGCCACTATTTTCACATATTTTGAGGTAGAAATGACTAGAAAGTACAAATAGTTTTGGAATCCGTGCAGTAGAGGGCTTCAGCCAGCAGCTGAACCGGCTGCAGTGGCTGCAACGTATTTCTTTGGGCCCATCAAAATGACGTCCACAAACACCAGCTGTTACACCGGGTGTCTGACAACATCATGGATCCCTACGAGTTACTCCCAGTGACACCCTTTGTTTTTAACAGCAAACTGAAGTCTCACTCAAGGACAGTTCTCATGAGATTTCAGCGTGAGAGCTGTCCTTACGTGAGACTGCAGTTTCCTGTTAAAAACAAAGGGTGTTTCCAGGAGTCACTTGTAGGGATCCTTTCCATGAAGTTGTCACCTGGTTAACAGTCTGAGCAATTGCCCCAAAGGAATTCGTTGCTGCCACTGCAGCTGGTTTGTGGCTGCCGGCTGAAGCAGCTACTGTACGGATTGGTAAGCTTTTGTACGTACTAGCCGGATATGGCCCAGGTTTAAAAATACCAAAATGATCCTTTAACACAGTAACGAAGTTAAGATGATGTGATTGCGCAACTGTACTAATGAAATCAATTAACCTATCTGTTGAAGAAATCCATGTAGCTTTCACAATCTGATTAAACCTATTATAGCCATATTTGCAAACCTTAATTGAATGTTTAACAAACCTTAGCGTGTTGATTGTTAATACATTATTACTTTAAAGGACAGATTTGCAATCTGCTTCTCCAGCAGCTGCCTTACTTACTTGTAACATTTACAAGTAACCTAGCCAGCCATTCTGCAGAAAAGTAGCCTAGCTATGGCCAGAGATGTTATATAGAGGAGACATGCCACTTTAAGAATCCTCAATATAACTCCATAGGGAAAGCCCGTAACGCCAAAGATTGCGCTTGTACCGCCTCTCCCCCTAGAAAGCAAATCGTCTTCTTTTAACAGCTGAGGCGGGAAACATATTTCAGCCAATCATGTGGTTCCACTTACGTAAGGGGTTTACTGCGCGTGCGTCACTACTACTATGCATGCACAGTAGTATAACCTGTCGAGGAAAAATGCCTTTTAAACCTTATTTTGAGGCAAAGTTGTCAAACTTTTTCAGCGATTTCTATTAGATTTTACTGGTGATTCTATTCATCTAGTTTATTTGTCCCGGTGTCCAGTAAAACTGCAGTTCTGTTTCTCTCCCCATTCATTCAGATAGGAATTGTTAGTCCCAAATTGTTGCCTGGTGGTGTTGCCAAGATGGCTGCCGAGTGGCATGACTCGCCTATAAGGACGTTCCTAAAGGTTTAGGCTGCCTTCGTCAGATACGTGACACTCAGCACTCACAAGTGGTAGCAGTTCCTGGAGTCTCCCGAGCCTCATGATCTGTTTTACGCTGTGTGTTATTCAGGGCAACCATCATGTCACTGGAGGACTTTGAGCAGAGGATGAACCAGGTTATAGAGAGGAACGCCTTCCTGGAGAGCGAGCTGGACGAGAAGGAGAATCTCCTGGAGTCTGTCCAGAGGCTGAAGGACGAGGCCAGAGGTACATATTCATTGACCTGCCGTCAGTTAAACTAGTTTTGCAAACTTGTGCTGTCGTGGAGGCACAGATTTTAACTGGCTGTGGGATATGATTTTAAAAAACAAACCTCAGCAGATATTTCGGTGGTGAAATCACCAGTTCCCAATGCAAAAAGTGTGTGTTGAGATGACATGATATAAGTTTTTAAAGTGCAGTCAGCTAATTCATGGTATTTAAAATTTTTACATTCAGGGAAAAATAAAAGTTTCAGGAAGAAAAAGAATTCAATCAATAGCTTATAAAAGCATTGTTAAAGATGTGTTTTCAATGCTCTCATAATGTGCTTATCTAAAGAGTTAGACTACACCCACAGTGAATAAGCTGGTTGTTTTGAGGCCTTACTTCATGTTCTGCATGGCTGCTGAAAGCCATTATTTTAAAGTCTCTGTTGCACGTCTGTAACTGGCCCCTAATGTTTGTTGGTGTGTGTGTCAGACCTGAGACAGGAACTCGCGGTGCAGCAGAAACAGCAGGTACAGGACAGGAAGCCGTCCCTCAGCAGTGCAGTCAAAGAGCCTTCGTCTTCGTCTTCGGCTGGTTTTCCCACCCCGCCCCTCACCCCTCCAGTCAAAAGAACCGAGGAAAAAAACACTCCTGCGTCCTCTAACCAGCCGGTCCCATCTGCCGCCACACCACGAAGACCTCCAGGCTCAGCAGAGTCCTTCACCACTCCACTGACCCCCATCAGCAGAGGTCGGTTCGTCACCACCAGTATCCAATGCATGCATGTCCACTTACACTCCTGCTGCTAAAATCCAGACGAGAGGAGCTCTTATTTAACAAAAATATTGATACCTTCATCTGACTTGCCTTTAATCATTACCAGGCTCACAGCAATTAATCGCAGTAATGAGCAGTAGCAAGTGATTTGCAGACATTTTGCCCTGGGGTTTGCTTATCAGTCAAAATGCTACAGGCTATTGTGTCTTAGTGCTGAAGGTTGCTGGTTGAAGGTTGTATGCAGCAAGGATTTAGAAGTATCACATCTTTATTAAGGTAGCTAAATGTCAATTAAGAGTTGGTGCATTATTAATTCATTGATTTTTTTTGTTTGTTTTTACCAACAATATTATAAACATATTTTATTCAAGATTCAAGATTCAACCCACTTCATTATCATGCATTATTTTTGCTAGATTGATATAAACCCATTCCTTTTTATTCTCCATTGAATCTTTGAATCAATCTTCATAATTGAAACTAACCTCAAATTCTTTAAACCTCTCTGATTTTTCAAATGTTAATGATCTTGCACCTTAGGCCCCGATCAGACAGAATGCGTTTTGCAGGTTTGAAAACGCGAGGCGCGCAGCAGTGCCTTTTTTGGTTGAATTTGGAAAAGAGCAGTGCGCTGCGTTGTTATTTATGTTGCTAGGCAACCACCGAATCAGCTGTCCTGTCAGTCAAATCAAAGATAGCTCAGGCGATCTGTAATCTTTGGTTTGCCACTAAGTAATAACGGTCATATTAGCAGAAACTTGATCACAACTCACAGGTCTGTCTTTTTTGGGCCGGTGTTAGCTCGGTCTGTTGGGACTTGGCTTGGAAACTGGTGGGTCTCCGGATCGAGAGATCTGAGTGGCAGCCCCCTCACTCTGACATCTCTCTGGGTTGCTATGGGTCCTGTTTGTGCATATGTGTCTTTCGGACCTGTGTGTAAATACTAACATAATACTGACATAGGAGTTTCCCCTTGCGGGATTAATAAAGTATATCTTCTTCTTCTTCTTCTTTAAATTCTTTCTTCTGCTTTAAAAACAATAGACAAAAGGAGGGCACCTGCTCTGGCTGAGAGGTGAACAGGGGAGACAGGGAAATGGAGATCCGTGTGGGTACATAAGCTGGTAGTACCACCAGTTGGTCCAGTAGATTCGTCCTAATGGTGGTCGGTTCAAGGCGTATTTTAGGATGAGTCAGGGACACTTTGTTGGAGTCTCCAGATAATCCAAGCAACTGTAAACTTCAGTCACCACAACTGAGGGCCCGTCTCTCCATTCATCCGATTGGACCATGGAAAAAAAACGGGAATGACGTCGGGCTCTCTTCTGCTTTTTCTACTTCGAGCGCTCAGAGTGCTCCTTCGAAAACACAAGGCGCAGCAGGTCCCCAAAAAGCGAGGCACTCTGGGGGCGTAAACAGCACGCAGAACGCTCACTGCCAATAGAAGAAGTTTTTTAAAAAGGCGCCTCTCACTGCAAAAACACATTCTGTCTGATCAGGGCCTAAAAGAACATACTTCTGGGAACTTTGTTTATAACGCTTTTAACCAATTTCCAAAAAATACTCCCAATGCCTCAAAAAGTCAGTGTTTAGCACATAACTGTCTGTAAACAAACTGCTCCAGTGGAAAAGAATATCTGTACAGGCTGAAAGTGAAGAGAAAAACTGCTGACTGTGCTGCAGATAAGCCATTGTGTATTTAAAGAAAAAACAAACTGTAAAACTGCTGTGAAGATTTGTCAGATGTTGATTCTTTTCTCCCATTGTGTCAAATCAAATAAATAAATAAATGATCAGGCAAAATGATGGACTAGGAAGCCAGAAAACTGAGGTCTGATTTTAAACAAAGTACTGAAACACCACGGGCCAACTAATCAATTAGCAGTTTTGACAGCAGTTTTAAAGTAAATGATCAAACAAAGATCCCAAACATTCTTGTTTTTTCAGCTTCTTAAATATAAGGATTGGAATCATTAGAAAGATGGATATCTCTGCATTCACCAGATTGATTGTTTCTGCAGGTGAAAGCCTCCCTGGGACTCCCCTCACCACGTCGGCCAGGATCTCGGCTCTGAACATTGTTGGAGAGCTGCTGAGAAAAGTCGGGGTAAGAACCGCACTTGTGATTATTGACCCGGGACTCAAAGGATCAAAAGAGAACTCAGTGTTTCGTGACTCAGCTGCTGATTTGTAACCATGTGATGCTGCAGGGTGCTTCTGCTTTTACTCTCAAATGCACACAAACTACTTTCTTCTCAGGAGTTTATTGTTTTTTTTTTTTTTTAGAAGCAACATCATGTACAAATAAACACAAAACACCCAATCAATAATTGATCCCAAATAGATGAGTACAACACTGACAACTTTTTAAATTTTGTGCTGAAGTTCATGGTCTGCGGAGGGTCGATCCTAATGACTTTGTTAGCCTGACATTGCCTCCAGCGCATTTGTGGTTCAGAGTGAAGTGTCTAGATAACTATTGGATGTATTTTAGTGTAAACATTTATGGTCTTCATAAAGTAATGACAGGCAGTCCTCCTCGGTACTTTGTGTGTGTTTAGCGCTACTTTGCATTTATTGACTGGACACATTGAGGATATCTAAACTGAAATGACAGCCAGTGTCTAAATGTTCAGGAAAAAATAAAGACCGTATTTGTTGCAGCTCTCACATGACTTCACATGATGACCTCTCTGCTGACACCGTCCTCACACAAATAAACCCTGTAACACTTCCACAACATGGCCAGTTGTTACATTTACTTCCCCACAGCTGCTAAAGATCTCAACCTCAACTTTCGCTCATTTAACACAGTTTGTTCTTTGTTTATAATGAGCATTATATTGTTTTCTGCACTGCTTATAGAACCTGGAGTCTAAGCTAGCGTCCTGTCGGGAATACGTCCACGAGCAGACAGCGAACCGCAGAGGCCACGCTGGTGGACAGGGGGCGGCGTCGGGCCAGAACAACTCCTCCGAGACCCATCCTACTAATGGCTTCTACAACAAGGGGTGAGATGCTCTGTACTGTACAGCAGGTAAACAGCTGCTGATCTCATGTCCAGACTAGTACTGTAATCCAGCAAGGTCGTATTACCTCTTATTGGTCTGTGAAATGAAGAAAATATTGAAAACAACTGTCCAGATAGACAGAAGCTGGAGGAGATTAAAAATCCCAGATTTTGCTGCAGATTTCACCTGTCCAGCAGTTGGTGGGTGAAACAGGCTGAGTGTGCTTGTTGTGTTTTACAGGCTGGTGAAGAGGTTAGACTTCGGAGGGGGACCCAAGCTGCTGCTGTGAAAGTGGAAACGTCCTCCGCCTCCATCTTTAATCCTCCTCTGAGCTGCTCGTTTCTTCCTGTCCTGCATCTCCCAAACATTTAACGGTACTGTGTGTTCATCACACGCGCCGCTCTCACCGGGAGCTGCAGCGATGAAACGGATAGATACGTTTGCTACGGCTACTTTGGGATGTTTGTTTACCAGCTCTGCACAGTCAGAGTTTTTTGTTTGTTTGTTTGTTTGTTAGCAGGACTTCCTTTCAGCACTCGCACTTACCTTGAACTCACTTACTGGACTTGTGCTGCATGTCACACCTCCTCACCTGCTTTCTTTTCCTTTACCAAGTGTTTTTGCTCTTTTTTTTTTTTTTTTTTGCTTAAAAGGTGTGTTAAGACTAAACACAAAGCAAATTTTAGACACGACATAACTACATACAAAAGACACTAACAGATGTTGGTTGACGTTGAGAAGATACGCTTCCACTCTAGGTAATAGATTTTGAACTTTCAGTAAAGAATCTGCGGTTATCCTAAAGCTGTAGCTGTACTACTTAATGTCAGGGTTTCTTTTTTTTACACTTATATGCCACATATTTGTTGGTCAGATCCCAAATGTGATGTGTTTTTTCCCGGCTTCATGCAAATCAGCCGGCCCAGGAGTGGTGGTACTGCACAATATAACCGTGCGCACTTTAGCATTTTAGTTACCACAATTACCAGTTAGCAACTCTCCAGCTCAAACACACGAATGAATCGTATTTATGAACTACGAGCGAGACAGAAGCTTTATCGTCTTCATGGGCTCCCGAGGTGGATTTCAGTCCGTCTTGAATGCTTCATGGATGCATTTACAGTTTGCTTTCTAGATATCTGACCACTGTCTGATCCGTCCAAGACACATGAGGTGACCAAGTGTGAGTTGGGTCAACCAACAAAAAGGGAAACTAGAGAAACAGGTAGAGTTCCTGTTTTAGTTTTAACATCGGACTGAGCCGTAGCAGTTGGCACCTTCACGTTCATCGATTGTTAAACACAGTTTTCTAAACACGCCACAACCAAAGTGAATATTTGCGTGATGTTTAGTTTAAACACACCTTAAGGGCGTTGTCTTTCTGAACACTGGAGGGGCACTTTTCGTTGGGGCAGCACAGTCGGTCTGTTCCTTTGTCCTCATGAAATACACATTATCACTTGATGGTTTATATATTCTCTCTCCGCAGTTGCATTTGACAAAAAAAGCGAGAAAATAATCTGCTGTTGATGAAAATAATAGTAGATTCAGACACGCATATGTTAAAACACCCCTCTGTAAGCCTTAGGGTTTTAATGAACTGTGTTTTTATATCACTATGACACATGTCTTCAGAAAACAACGTAAATTACTCATTAAACTTATAAAGTTGTGTGTGGGGGGGGGGGGGACCTTTCTGAATGGAGCACATGCCAACATCTTGTGGCCATCAGTTCTTAAAGCTGCCTTAAATAACATGCTACTGTGTAAATAATGAATGAAATGAGAGAGGAGTCGCTTGTTAGTACTTAAGAGATGCGTCACCATCTCTGCAGCTCTGTGTAGTGTTTTAAGACTCATTTAACTCCCTTGTTTTGGTTGTACGGCTCATTCTCTGTATGATTCACCTCGAGCTTTCTGGCGTTCTGGCAAATTTTGATCTAACAAGCAGATTTTATAAAACGTACTGATCAGATTCATGACCTACAGAAGATTTTAATGACCCCATGACTTTTCCTTTAGCGCCACCCTCAGGACAAACTTTACAATTCTAGCTGCGCTATTGGTGAATAGATAAGTTTATTCGTCCTGTCCACAACTTTGATATATCATGTGAGGAAAATTTGAGCCTTTTAGTGTTGTTTCAGTATCAGTGTAGCAGACCAGGAGAGGAGGCACCTTTTAGTTTTTCCTGTGGAGACGCTCTTTAAAATAAACAAATCCCTCTGCTGCGCGTCTTTCCAGGAGTGAAACGTCTTCTGTTCGGGAGGAGCTATGATGACTTCAGTGAAGGCTACTTGTGTTTTATGTTAAAAAAGAAAACTATGTAATAGGTTGGACTGTAGTGTTATATACTGTACCGCTGCTGTAGGGTCACTAACATAGATTGTAGATTGTAGGCTGGATTGAGTTACAGTTAGCTGCTCGGGGCGAGTGTAAAACAGCAGCAGCAACAGACTGGACCTTTCCCAGAAAGGTCAAAGGTCAGCGTGTGTGGAAGCAGCTGTGGAGAAGATGTTTTGGTGTTTGTGTTTTTTGCCTTATGAATCATTCATAAGAGTATTTACATGCTCACAAAGTGCTAAGACTTGTTCTGCGCTGCTTTGTTTACTTTCAGTACTGCTGATATTTTTTTTCTGAAAAAGCAATAAAACTTGAAATGTGAGAAATAAAACTCTGGATTTTATTTATTGTCTGCAGGTGGAGGAACTGAGACGACACGTCTGTTGTCATTTCGTAGCATTTTAATAGCACTTCACTGGCTCACAAAGCAGAAAGTCCTTCATCACAGCAGTCATTGTACAACCCACTTTTATTATAGTTATCTATATATATATATTGTGTGTCTGTGAGGTTTAAATCACACCGCCTAATCTCACAAATGAATATACAACAGTTTGGTTACAAATGTCATTTTACATTCAGTTTCCAAATAAACAGATTCTCTATAAAATATTCTAATAACCCCTCTGAGACAGGGTACAACTAGCCCCAGTTTGGGCCTCTCGTGAGCCAAGCATCTAATTTTCTAAAAATATAAACCCAAGAGGCCGTTCAACAAAGCTTCCTGCTGCTCTGAAGTTAAAGTCTCTTGACTATTTAGATGATGTATAAAATGAAATGTATTTCATCCACTGCATGATAATGAAAAAAATTATAACCTGTTTCTCAATGTTCATAATCCAATTAAAGATGGTAGGCAGAAATTAATTTCTGTATTTCTTTCCCATATTTATTATTTTGTCTAGATACTGAACCCAAAAATTCCAACAGTGTGTCAAAGTTAACTTCTGTTCGGATGAGTAGTTCCCAGGCGAATGTGACATAGTCTAAAAGCGCTTTGAGTTGTCAGTGAAGACTAGAAAGGCGCTAAATACAAACACAGAACATTTACCTTGCAACCAGACTAACAGTAAAGGCTCATGAATTTTTTGCAGGTGTTTTGAGTTAATTAGCTGATTAGAGCTCTTCTCAGGTCGATATTTCTGTATTATAAAATATTTTAGAATTCTAATAGTTTCAAGAGTTGAATTTATGAAAGTTAATTATGGAAGAAAATGAACTTTTCCATGATATAAAAAAATTTAAAATGTATATGAAAAGTGCAATGTATGGCTGGGCGACATGGCCAAAAATGTTATCATGATAAAAACATTTTATATCATTCGATACCGATAATTATCACGATAAATGTCAAATTGTTATTTCTTTCAAGTTTATAAGCTGATTTTTGCTCCTGACTGAAAATTGAAGAAACCAGGTTAACTTTTCTTTATGGTCAGAACGTGATGAACACTTGATGCCAAACAGCGGATCACTTAATAAGTTACTGAGGGAGAACATTCAAAACTATTATGATTAAAAAAAATTTAATAAATACGATTAGTAAATTTTTTTCAGTCCCTTTTCCTCAACAAAATAAATATTTTAACAGAAAAATTAAGCTAATATGCTCGTGATCCAAATGAATTAAACCAAATATTTATTGACAATGTGTTGAACATTTATTATATTGTTATTGAGGATTGAAAATTATATTGCGATAATTATCATTATTGTTTTATTTCCCAGCCCTAGTGCAATGAGATAATTCTTATGAATTGGCGCTGTATAAATAAAATTGAATTGAAAGGACGGATGTAATTTACAACTACCTGGATAGAAAATACAGTCGCAGCTTGAGAAACGGGTTAAAAGTCTTTAATATTGTGCAACAGATGGAATATTTGTTTCATCCAGATGGTTGGGAAGATTCTGGAAAAACATTCAGAGCAGCTGTGAGCTTTGCTTTTTTTAACAACCTTTTATTTTTTAAAGATCACTGGGTAACTTTACCTCTGTGACTCGACTGTAGCGGCACAAACTGAGACCAGGAAAACTGACTTTATATATGGGAATTATATAAACTACCTGGGATATAAATAAATTTAAATATATTATATTTGCATAAATTAAATGTTATATTAATCCACAAACACTGAAAACAGTGGCTACTTTTTTTTACTTCACAAAACCTTCTGATGAGCTGGGAATCAGATTCTGGGTGTTTTTTTATTTTCATATTTTGTTTTCTGTTTCACTTTGTAAACTTTATTTAGGGAGTTTAAAAGGTGCAGCATTCATACCTACTCCTTTGTGCTCATTGCATAATAATTATTTTCTTAAATAATTTTATTTATTCCTCCCAAATAAAGTTGAATAATGTGGAATCAGTTAAGAAGTACTAACAAATCTTGCCGTCCATTGTTGCTGCTGCTGATGTGAACAGCTGACGCCTAGAGGACCCACAATATGTTAAAGTCACATGACGTAACAACACCTCTTTTGCTGCTGAGAGAACTTAGTTGCAAATTAGCAAAATAGTTGACTGAACTGACTGAACTGGACAGACTACAAGGTGGACTCGTGATCTGTGTCTCATAATTAATGTTTATTTAGTTTTGAGAAGGGGAGATAAAAACAAAGGCAAGACTTGATAGAGCTGCAAAAAGGAGGGAGGGAATAACAGAGCAGACAAAACTGTGGTTTGTTAGCGATGGGTTTAAGTTATTATTATTAATTATACGTTTTAGGAGAACTGGATTGAAGCTGCCAATATTTCAGTTCAACAGACTTTAAAACTGTTCACTGAAACTCTGGATCATTAAGATTACAACTGAAAAACAGAGCGGTGGAGTGGAAACTAAAACGAGATGCTCATAAAACTTAAAAGCTTTTTTGAAAAAATCCGTGAGGGGGATATGGCTTCAAATCCCAGCATTGAGCTTTGCTAAAAGTAGAAATTAGAATCATCATACTTTTTTCAGCAGCTTCGGTGCAGTTTTGTTCCTGATTGCAGCGACAAAGTGTCCTGAACTTGCTGTGGTCTTCTGCATATCAACAGCTGCTGAGGCTCATGGGTACTAGAGTATTTAAGAGCAATTTGATATGAAAATGTAATTTCTGGGAAACAGTTGAAACATTCCTAAGTGGTGACCATCACATGATCATGTATAACGACTCAGAGAGTTGTTTAAAACGAAAGACCACCAATGACTTTGTTCCTCCTTCGTTTCCGCCCCATGGGTTTTTTTTGGGGGGGTAAAGGGGACTGAGTGTACAGGGCCTTCCTGTGACGAGGGCCCACAGAGATCAGAATACTCGACAATAACGGCGGCCCGATGGCCCGGGGCCAGTAAGGAGTAACGTCGGGAAAAAAATTAGAAACTCAACATCCTGCAGTTGTTTTGCAGCTCATGGCGTGCACCGTTGTCCAATCCAGATTTGTAGTTACGTGACGAGCGGTTGTCAAATGTTATTTCTCTAATCTCAATCATGCAGCAACCTCTGGGTTTGAAAGTGAAACCATGCAGATGGAACTTACAACTGCATTCTCTCTAACAGCCAGCAGGGGGCAAAAAGAAGTCCGTTTCCATTAGAAATGTTGATAAAATGTTTCTACTTCCCAGCTGAATTATTACCTTAGTAAACACTTTCCTAATGAGTTTATGGTCTCAGTCACTAGTTTCAAGTCATATGCTTTTGGGCGGGACTACCTTGTGATTGAAAGGTCGCTAACATGGCGTATAACAAAACTTATAAGTGTTTGGTTTTGTTGTAACACTGATAAATAACTGCCGGAAAGGGAGGGTCTTAGGTCCTCTATGTGCATATTTTAGAAACAAGGGGACAGGACGAAAGTAAATATATTTTATAGCTCTACAACTAAAGACTTGAAAGTTATTGCAGATGTTCTTGTAAAATATTATCTCTTTAGATTGTTTTCTTGATCGATCAATTAATTATTTTGTCAATAAATGTCAGAAAGTAAGAAAAACACCCAGTATAACTTCCCAGAGCCCAAGGTGATGTCTTCAAAGATGCTTGTTTGATCTGACCAACAGATATATTCAGTTTACTATCATATTTATGACGACAAAAAGCATAAAATCTTCATATTTGAGAAGCTGGAACCTGCATGTTTTGAATTTTTACGAGTTGCCAATTAATTTTACAGACTTTGTAAGTCTGGAATAATTGAAAATTATTTGGTGAACAAATATTATAGTGTTGTAATCAGTATAGTAGGGAAAGTGTAGAGTTTTGAGTTACTTTTTGACACCAAATAAGTTGTGTATTAAAAGAAAGCTCAGCACAATAAGCTGTAGCTTCAGCTGTTTTGGTTTGAAGAACATCTCGTCTCTATCTTGGGCTGTTCTGCTGTCATATTTGTCTTTTACTCCAACTTTTTTGTGTAATTACTCAAGAGACCGAAACAAATTTCAACATAAATATACAATATTGTTGTTATAATATCCACAAGACTCCTTTTTTTCTCTGTTCAGGAACATTATTGTTAAAAGGAAACTTTAAAATTTAAATTAAAAGCATATAGTATAAATATTTGTGGAACAGGTTCTGCCCACTTTACTTTGGTGATATCCAATCACAATGCTGAGGTCCCTCTACTCATCATGGGAGAAGTTGTTGGCCTCCCCGCGTTGCTCCTGGTTACAGGCAGGAGGAGACGGGGATCGAGGCTCTTCCTCCTGCAGCTCCACTGAGTTCTCCTTGATGGTGCTCCTCCGGCTGATGCTCCCTCCCAGCCCCAGGCTCCTCATGCTGCTGCTGCTGCTGCTGCTGCTACGGGGACTGGGGCTGCTGAACGTCACCTCCCCGCCACCACGCCTGGGAATAACCGACACATCAGGAGGAAGAGAAAGAGGAGGAAGAGGAGGGTCAGAAGGACAGAGGAAGAACAGCAAGCAGCGAGAACTTGGTGGCTTGTTGCAAAGCGAGATTTAAAAATTAAAAAAGCCCCTGAAATCTTGCAGAATGTGTGTAAAACTTGAGGGATTAGCTTAGTGAAGAGGAAAGTAAAAAGCCCGTTAAGGAAAAGGAGAAGATTCCCCGGAAGCTTTGAGGACAGTTTGCAGATCAGTAGTGTCTGAGGAAGGTGTGAAGTGGGACATGAAAGGAGGAAGAGGAAACGTAAAAACCACAAATGATCTTCACAGTTCTTTTCTGAGGCACTACAGAAGTTACAGGGTTTAATTACAAAGAAAGATTAGGACTTTGGATGAAGGTATTTTGTTTTATAATTACAAAACCATTATGTTTACTAACGCAGGTGGAAGTGGATGGTTAATATTTTACGTTCCATTTTATGTCTCACCGTCTTTCCCATCATGCTCCTTGTGTGGGATTTGTCACTTGGTTTTTCTGCCCTCACAGTTTGGAAACGCGTAAACCAAAGACACAGGGTTATTTCCTCTCAGAAGGAGATTAAAAATTATTCTACTTTTTAATTTTTGAATTGCAATATTAAGTTCCTAAAACCTAGTGGATTGCAGACTGTAATTGTTTATTTGATATGTGTTTATTTTGGTGGCTCGTTCCATCTACCATAGATGTGCAGTCAAGGACTTAAATTTCTGAGTATTTTGATTAATTGTTTCATCAATAAAATCACGTAAAAAACTGTGAAAAATGTAAATAACAAGTGCCTATTGGACCTTTGTTTTGTCTGGCCAAAAGTCCATAACCCAAAGATATTTATATTTACTTTACTATGAAATTAAATCTAATTTGAGAAGCTTGAACAAGAGAACGTTTGTGACAGATTTGCTTGAAAGTAATTCAGATATTTGAATAGTTAGTTACAGTTAATTTTCTTTCCACTTATTGCAGCTTGATTAAACTATATTTTTCCACTGTAAAATGTTTCATCTCTCGCAAACAACTTTCAAAAACAAAAATGAATCTCAAAACTTTTGTTAGAAAATAAATTAGATGCATTTTGAAGCTCTCAAGTTGAACTTCATTATAACAGATTTCCTAATTCATCACTAATTTGCTGTCAGTATTTATTCCTATTCCCCCTGCCTCACTTTGTCCCAGAGTTCATTGGGCCCTTCGGTACCTCAGTTTGCTCCTGAGTGAAGCCATCTCTCTGTTAAGAGTGTCGTTGGCCTCGCTCGCCTCCTCCAGCTCCCTCTGCAGCTTCCTGCGAGCCGCCGCCACGCGCTGAGCCTCCTCCTCCGCCTCCTCCAGCTGATGCTTCAGCTGCTTCACCCGAATGTTGCCCTTCTCTGCCTGCACAGAGCAGTTTTAGTCACAGGTCATGATAAATGACTTTGGCTAACACGGTTATCAGAGTTACCTGGTCTTTGTATTGCTGCGCCTGCTTCCTCTCATCCTCCATCTGGACGGTTAATTCCTTCAGTTTTTTCTCTTTCTGGCGCAGATTCTTTCCGTTGGCCTGACGCTCTCTACACAACATCAACACAATGTCATCATAACAACATTTAATCCTTAGGCTCTCAATCGTACTGGTTAGTGCATGTAGTTGGAATTTAACTCAATTTCCCAACATGCAGCATTACCTGCTCTCAATCTCCAGCTGCTCTTCAACCTCTCTCAGCTTGGCCTCGAGGGCGGCGATAGAGGATTTGAGTTTGGAGCGGCCCTGGCCCTCTATCTCCTGCAGTTTGGCCTTCAGCTCGCGGTTTTGTCTCTCCAGCTGCTGCCTGGATCCCTCCCGACTCTGAGAGGAAGACCTCTCTGCTGCCAGCTCTGCACCCAGCTGCTCCACCTACACAGCCGCAGTCAGGACGGCACAGGGTTAAAAAGAAAGAAACAACGTAAGGACGTGTGCTAGCCCACACTAGTCCTCGCTAAACCCCGTCTAGTCTAGTCCTAACCCTCTCTAGTCCAACCTGGACCTACCAGCTGCTGGCTCTTCCTCAGCCGGTCATTGAGGCTCTCCACGTTGGTCTGCTCTTCCTCCAGCTCCTCCTCCAGCTGGTTGATCTTAGTCTCCAGACGACGCTTTTCATCAGAGAGTAGTGATCTGAGCGGAGGAAGGAGGATGGAGAGATGAGATGAAGAACGAGAAGGGAAGGTAGGAAAGCAAATGAGAAGAGGGAGAATAAGAGATGATTCTCATGTTATTTTATATTTATATTTCCTCTAACAAGAATTTACATTTGAATATTGCAATTTTGAAAACTGGTAACTTGGTACCGTACTTGCCAATTCCTGTTAAAACTATTATTCCTTACAATTTTTTATAATCTGATGTCTGTGGCAGCAGCGGAACATCAGATATCTCAACAGATACTGGCTACATTTTCATGACTATTCAGAGGATAAGTCCTAATCATGGGTTTCCCACCACTGCGACAAAAATTATACTTAACCCACTTTGATTCATGAAAATGTTTTGTAAAAACAAAACATTCATAGTCCCCAGGAGCATCAAACGTCTGAAGCGTGACTGTTGTTTTGCACAGTAAAGATGATTTTGTTAGAGGATGGAAAGAAGTTAAGATTAGAGAAATGACTCGTGTCTCCTTCCACAAATTTTTCTCCTCTAATTACTATACTTTCTATAACATTCTTGCCTCTCATCTCAAATGTACATATATGTTAAATTAAAACAAGACACCCACTTTCCGGAGTTACTGGCCAGTTCTTCAGTCAGCTCGTCTCTTTCTGCCTCTGCCTGCTTACGAGCTCTCTCAGCTGCTGCCAACATCTGGAAAGGACGAAGAAAAGACGGACAGAGGAAGTTGATGGTGATGTAAAGAAGGTAAGAAACAAAATGAACATGATGCTGATCAGAAGAGTGTGAGAGACAACTTAAGCCCCCAATGGAGGAAACAGAGAAATACAAATCTCTTGACTGGTTGAAGGAAACGTCTTGATAAATTTTATATTTTCATATTTAGAAAATCTTCAAAATCTGATATGTCTGTGCAAAAGAACAGCCACTCCCTAGATACTGATTAGTTATTACTATGAATATGGACTTCATGTGGGTCTTTTTGTCAAAAAGTTACTTAAGCTCAGAGACTTTGTGGTTTTCTTTTTATTGTCTGTGAAAGCAACAATAAAATATTAGAAATATTTTATTTCTATATTATCTATTTTAGATCACTGGCTCCCAAAGTTTTTCAGCTCAAGACCCGAAAGAGAAATGTGGTGTTTCCCTGTGACCCAAATTTACAAAAATACATCTACATTTACAAATTACAGATAAAGAGCAAAACAAACTATGTATATAAAATGTATTAATTTTCTTATTAAAGTAAACAAAAACAACTACGTCTATTACCCTTTCTGTGTCTCACCCCTTTCTACTCTCATTTTCTTATCCCCTCCCATCTTCACCAACATGTCTTTTGACAGTTCAGTTTTTGAAAGTGCAATTCTAAGGTCATGCTGAACATTTAGTCTGTTTCCGAAATGGATTTTCAGGTATGCTAGAGTGGGAAAAGCCAGATTCACACAAGCATGTTGTGCCACATTGAATCAACAAATCTTGAAGGATGTTTTGGGTCCCGATCCTAGGTTTGGGATTTAGAGAAACTGTACTATGGTTTACATAATGCACTTGTTAAATAAAATATTGGTTAGTTACACTTTTACTAGTAAGCCTACAGTGAGCTGGCTTCTTCTTTCAAATGCTAATAATGTTATAGCCTCAATTCACAGTTTTTTTTTAACTCGTCCAGCCAAAACCAAGAGAAACCTCCTATTAGAAAACAAGAGGCTCATAGAATAAATTCACATGTTCAACCAGAATACATAAACTTTGCTTTCTATCTGGTTTAACTGAACCCATTTTAACGGCTTGTGATGTACACGCAGCTTAAAGGAATTATATCAAACATGAGGAAATATATTTTGAGCTCCACAATAAAACTTTCAAAACTAAATATGTTGATGGTGACGAATGATCATAACTGATGGGAAACAACAAGCTTTTACTTTTAAGTGATCAAAGGCACCACAGTCCTCACCTCGTGGAGCTGGACGATGTCCGCCTCCATGGCCTTGGATCTGCGCTCAGACTCCCTGGCTGAGGCGAGGACCTCCTTCTGGGCTGCGCGCGAGTCCTCCAGCTCCCTCTGGAGATCCTTCACCTGGCCCTGCGAGGAGAGAATAGAGGTCATGTAGGTAACAATGAGTAACCACTCGAACAAGAATGAAAAATTATGGGAAGCACAGAAATGTAAATGTGTGCTGACCTGGATCTTGCGGAGCTGCTTTACTGCTTCGTCACGCCCCCTGTTGGTGGCCTCCAGCTGGTCCTCCATGTCCTTCAGCTCCCCCTCCAGCTTCTTCTTGCTGCCTGACGCTTGACCTCGCTGCTTCCTCTCCTCCTCCAGCTCCGCCTCCAGCTCACGCACCTGACGGGGAGACAGCAGGGTGGCATTTAGTCATTTTACAATTAAATGGAGAACATTTTGATTGATTTGGATGTTCATTAGGTCATAGAAGATCCGTCTTGGATTTCAAAAGTTCATAGTTACAATTCAAACCCACACTGAAAAATGTAAATGTATCCAAAAGGATCTGGTGGAGAGAAATCTAATGTAATTAAATTATGTTTATGAACAATTTCCAATAAGATAAAGCAACTTAAACTGGAGCAAGAGATTCAGAGTGGTAAGTTAATCATTTGTGGAAGAAGCAACAACAAAGACGTCAGTCTTATCTGTGAAGACCTGTAAGAAGTTGTTTGCATCCAGTTAATGGCAGTCAGGCAGTTTTTCAGAACAGCCAGTTAGTCAGTTTCAGCAGGCAGCAGATATACAGCTCAATATCTGCAGCGTGACAGTGATAAGAGATCCCCTTAAATTTGCTAATGATGTGACCTAAGGGGAGCACATAGAAAGAAAAGAAAACAGCCTGAGGAACACCACAGGAAAGAGCAGCAGTTTCAGATGTATAAGGACCCAGCGATACAAAAATACTCTGAGAGATGGGATGAGAACCAGACCAGGGCGCTCTCAGAGACACCCACACCCTTGGCCTATGAATCAGGATGCTGTGATCTACAGTATCAAAAGCTACACAGAGATCAAGCAGCACCAGAACAGAGCATTCACACGCATCAGAGGACATCCTCATGTCACTGGAGACCCTGAAAGGAGCTGTCTCTGCTGAATGTAGAAACAAGATAGGACATTATCTAAAAGGTTGTGTGCGGCTGTTTGGCAACAACTTTCTCTACATTTTTTTAGATAAAAAAGGCAGCTAAAAATAGGTTATAGTTTTTGGGGAAGGCATGGATCAAAGTTAGTTTTTTTCAGAAGAGGTTGCACAAGTGAATGTTTAAAATTAGTTAGGACAAAACCAGATTTCAGGGCACTATTTATATTTGAGAACAGGCAACACCAGACACATTACGCTTATGGGCATGGAACTTGGTAAAATGTCTACAGGGCGTGATGAAGGTTTCATACTGCCCACCAGATCAGTTAGGTAGGAGTGAAGCAGTCCAAAATTGATGGCCAAGTTGCAGAAGCGTTAATCACTCTATTCACTTTACAGACATGCTTTTTTTAATATTGTGAATCTACTTTTAAATTAGTCAGATTGGTGCAATGAATATGCCCCTCCTGCCACTTAATGCACAATATCTGCACAACGTTTACACCAAAAAATAAATAAATTAGAATAAAAAGCAGTGTGAACTCTGAGACTGAAGCTGAGGTAAGACCAGGATGGAAGCAGTTAAAATGACAAGTTCTTATGACTAAACTTAAGAACAGGAGATAACAAGTTCATAGAGAAAGAAACATCAAACCAGTAGGAGGATCATATCTTAAATTAAGAAGAGCAGCAGGAGGTGGTACTCCACCTGTTTGAGGAGCTGCTTCCTCTTCTCTTCACCCATCTCATCGCGGGCGTGCAGCTCCCTCTCATGCTGAGCTCTCAGAGCCTGAGTATTGACCTCCAGACGCAGCTTGGCATCCTCAGCGACCTGCAGTTCGTCCTCCAGTTCCTCCATCTGCGTTCTCATCTCGTCCACGATGGCCTCCAGGCCACGCTTGGCCTTCTCCAGGTCATGGACCTGACGGAGGATGGAAAGAAAATAAGATCAACTTCTGTAATAAAATAAAATGATTCATTCATGTTCAGACGTTTCCTCTTACACTCTTTCCCACGTCGTCCTTGGAGCTGATGAGGTCCTCCATCTCAGCTCGGAGGGCCTTCATGGTCTTCTCCGCCTCCTCCAGAGAGTCCTGGTTCTCCTCCAACGCTCTGGCCAGAGCTAACACCCGCGTCTCCTTCTCTCTCGCCTCCGCCTCCGCTCGATCCCGCTCCTCTGCAAACTTGCAGGACACAGCGCGCTCCTCAGCCAGCATCTGACCAACGCGAGGATAAAAGGAGATCACAGGAGATGAGATGTGAATGTAAAATGAACAGGATTTTTCAAGCGTTTAAAATGTCATTATAACATCAAAGGGTAGGTTCACAGTTCTTCAAGTCTTAATTTGAGACAAACATCCAAAAGTGTCCTCCACAGTTACAGGCAGACCTGATCAAACTTCTTCTGCTTCTTCTCCAGGTTGGAGACGAGCTGCCGCTGGCTGTCCAGGTCCATGAGGACGTCCTCCAGCTCCTGCTGCAGCCGGCTCCGGCTCTTCTCCAGCTTGTCGTATGCGGACGCCTTCTCCTCGTAGTCGCTGTTGGTCGCCTCCAGCTCGCGCTGTAGACGCTTCTTCCCCTCTTCCAGCATTTCCACCATCCCTGACGTTTCGTCCAGCTTCTTTTTGTAGTCAGACACCTGGTAGAAGGTGGACCAGTGGGAGCTTAGGAGTATGTCATGTTTCTACAGGGTATTCACAAAAGTCTCAAAAACACCACTGATTTGTCTCTGACTTCTCTCACTTAGTTCAGATTTCACATCTTTCTGACGTTACTGACCTGCATGTTAAGGCTGGAGACCTGCCTCTCCACGGCCCTTTTGGCCTCAGTCTCCTCCTCCAGCTGCTCCATCAGGCTGTTCCTGTCTTCCTCCATCTGACGCAGACGTCCGGACAGATTCAGCTTCTGACGAGTCTCCTCTGACAGCAGCTCCTGGAGGAGAAGGACGAGGAGACGGGAGGAGATGTGAAGAAAGGTGTCAGTTGACAGCAATTTATTTTAATCCACCGCATCAGTTCAGACTGAAATATCTCCAAAATTAGTATAATTTTGTTCAGACATTCGTGGTCCACAGGAGACGAGTCCTACTGACTTAGGTGATCATCACCTGACATAGGTGACTTTTCCTCTAGCACCACCAGGAGGTTGACATTTGTGGTTCAGTGTGAAATATCTTGAAACGACTTTAAAACAGATATACAAGGTCCTTACACAATAAATCAAAATTACTTTGATGATCCTCTGACTTTTCCTCTAGCACCACCAGTGGTTCACAGGTTTCACTTATTCTGAAAAATATCTCAACATCTACTTAATGGATTGGCACCATATTTTGTATATGCATTCACGGTTTCCAGAAGATGTATCCTGACAACTTTGGTAATTCACTGACTTTTCCTTTAGCGTCACTTTGGAAGGATAGCAGTGCAATTTAGTACACATATTCATAGTCCCTAGAGGGTGATCTGAAATCAATTTGAGCGCTTGATTTTTTTAACTAGCGCCGTTATCAGGTCAAAGTTTAAAGTTTGTCAAATTCTCCAAACCCGTAAAATGAAGGACATTCCAGCTCGTCCTCACCAGAAAAACAGCCATAAAGATCAATTATTATAGAGCTTATTATGACTCTTTTTTACGTATTTTGTTAGGCCGCGACCTCTAGTGGCAGAAGAAGTCAAGTGCTGTAGTATAAAGAGCGCCAAAGTCCATGTAAGGAGGTGGTGGTTTGGATGGATGAGTGAAGTAAACTCATGTTGACATGTTTAAAAAAAGTTTTGTAGATAATGGCATGACTTAACCCAAAGCACCATCTTTTCCTAAACCTAATCAAGTGGTTTTGTTGCCTAAACCTAAACAAACTACGACTGCTTAACAACGTTTAATACATGTTAAACGTGAATTAGATCACGTGACTTTCATAACATACCTAAGGTCTGGTACTTGCCTCTTACATGTTGTTTTGGGGACGAGACATATGTGTTGTTCTGGAAAACGGTCTTGTATGTTGCTGTGGGACAACTGATAATCAACCTTTTTTGTCGTTTAAGTATCGGTCTCAACAGTTCGGGTTTTGTGTTAATTAGCAAACATTAGCATGCTAACATTCTTAGTTAAGATGGTGGACATGGTAAACTTTACTCCTGCTAAACATCAACATGTTAGCATTGTCATTGTGAGTATGTTAGCATGTAGCTCAAAGCACTGCTGTGCTAGCATGACTCTTGTTAGTGCATGTTTGCCTCGACACTCGTGTGGCAAAACCTACAAGGTCAAATCTGGAGACACATCCATTTACTGGTGTTTGTTTGTGTTGTCCCTCACCTGTGCATCGTGGAGCTGAGAGGTCAGAGTGGAGACCTCTTTACTCAGCTTGATGTTCTTGCCCTCCGCCTCGTTCAACACACTCGTCACACTGTCCAGCTCCATCTGGAGAAGATGAAGAGAAAAAAAAGAGAGCGAGAAAGAAAGGTACATTTAATTCCCAAATTTTGTCTTTCACACTCTCTCTCACAATTTTAGCAGTAGAACGAAAAAAAGATGACTGCTGGTTAAAACAGCTTTATTATTTTCAGTTGGTTACTGTTTAACTTTCAGTGTTGCTGGACCCCTTGATATACAGTATACTTTGGATGCAGGCAGAATTCAGTGCTACAGTGTCATTTCATTGGTATTTTGTGACTCACAGTCATCTTGGAGACTCGCTCCCCCAGCTCGGTCCTCTGCCGCTCGCTCTCATTGAAGCGCGAGTTCAGGTCATTCAGCTGACCCTCCACCTTCTTCTTCTTGTGCTCCACTTCCTGTTTTGCGCTGGCGAGGGATCGCAGGTCGGCGCTCATATCTGCCGACTCCTTCTCCAGAACCTGCTTGGCTTTCTCCAGACCAGCTCTCACCTGGACGGAGAGATGTGATGCTAAGTGAGTAAAAGTTGTTTTTTAAATGACTTAGAAGTACACTGGTCACAACATACAAGGCCTAAGGGAATAAACTGTGTGTGTGTGTGTGTGTGTGTGTGTGTGTGTGTGTGTGTGTGAGTGTGTGTGTGTACCCTCTTGGCCTGCTCCAGCTGTTCATTGAGCTCCTCCACAGCCTGGCTGTGTTTCTGCCTGAGGTCCTGGATTTGGGCCTCGTGGCTCCGCCCCTCGTCCTCCATGGCTTTTTTCAGCATGGCCACCTCCTGCTCACGCTTCGCCCTGACGGTCACATATACACACACACACACACCACATCACCACAACACATCCAGAGGAACACAGCGTAGAGCTTTGGCTACCAGCTTTGGCTACCAGCTTGTGACAGGCTTACGTACATCCACTTTTATGCAGATGACACTGTTAGTTATTAAGCTAAGATTTGGCTTTTATTTTGTATAAAATGTAGAATGTAAAACAGTATGTCATTTTGCCCTTTTTCTTAGGAAGGTTTATGCACTGCACTTTCTTTCTTTCTTTCTAAAGGATTTCAGAGAGCTGCAGACACATATTTTTGAAACACCAGTTGCAACTTCTACAATAGGTTCACTAAAGATAAAACGTCTTTCCCAAAACAAACACTACCTATTCAACTTTACAGAAGTTCATGATGGATTCGGCATGAATAAAATCAAACGTTTACATGTTAGTGTGATTCTACCTAATGTTCACATGAATCACATCTATTTCAATAATATAATGATATTAGCTGAGCTAATGCAGCAGTGATGATTAATGGGACACAGCCATGACACATCACCTTTGCAGGCCTACTATGGCTTTTTCAGTGCTTGAGGAAGGGCATTTTTGGTAGACATGATTGTAGTCCTAATTTTAAAACATTCAGGAGTCAGCATTGCAAAATAATGAACATGTGACTGACAGATGTTTCTTGTTGCCCAGATGTTGCCTTTTAGGGTGATTGTCCAAACATTAAATAGCTCTGCATGACTAGTCTAAGTTTTCATCCTTGGTTCAAACCTTTAAAGACTGCATTTCCTGTTAAAGAGGATAAACCAACATGAAGACCAGAGAGCTGTCTATGGGAGAAAAGCAAGCCGTTGTCAAGCTGAGAAAAGAAGGGAAATCGACCAGAGCCATTGGACAAACATTGGGCATAGCAAGCACAACAATTTGGATTGTCCTGAAAAAGAAAGAAACTACTGGTGTCCTGAGCAACAGACGTCCAACAGGTCAGCCAAGGAAAACAACAGTAGTTGATGACAGAAATATCATGAGAGCTGTGAAGAAAACCCCCAAAACATCAGTAAGTGTAAGCGTAATCACCAGCGACCTCCACAGTGCAGGGTGAAGGTATCACAATCCACTGTTGGAAGAAGACTCAGAGAGCAGAAATATAGAGGCCACACCACAAGATGCAAACCACTCATCAGCAGGAAGAATCAGAAGGACAGATTGAAATTTGCAAAGAAGTACAGAGATGAGCCGCAAAAGTTCTGCAACACAATCTGATGGACTGATGAGACCAAGATTAATCTCTAGCAAAGTGATGGAAAGGCCAAAGTGTGGAGAAAGAAAGGAACTGCTTATGATCCGAAGCTCATCTGTGAAGCATGGTGGAGGTGATGTCATGGCATGGCTGCTTCTGTATCAGGCTGTTTAATATTTATTGATGATGTAACTGATGATGGTCGCAGCAGAATGAATTCAGAAGTGGACAGAAACATTTTGTCTGCCAATTTACAGAGAAATACATTTAAACTAATGGGGAGGAAGTTTATCATGCAGCAGGACAATGAGCCAAAGCACACTGCCAACAAAACAAAGGACTTCATCAGGGGGAAAAAAGGTTTTAGACTGGCCAAGTCAATCAGCTGACCTTAACCCAATAGAGCTGCATTTCACCTCCTTAAGAGGAGACTGAAGGGAGAAACACCCCGAAACAAACAAGAACTGAAAGAAGCTGCGGTAAAATCCTGGAATAGCTTCACAAATGAAGAATGCAACAGTTTGGTGATTCTGATGGGTCGCAGGCTTGAGGCAGTTATTGCAAGCAAAGGTTATGTAACCAAATATTAAATGTTATTTACTTTAAGATTATTTGTTCCATTACTTTTGCTCACCTAAGAATGCTGTGGTCTAATACAGACGGTGATATGTCCTAAGTTTTTTTAACACATCTAGATGTGAATACCAGGAAATAAAAGCTGAAATTCTGAACTCTTGTCTCATACTCATCTTTTGATCTTAAACCCAAATGTCTTCAGTGAAGAACAAAAAACAAAGGAATTTGCCGTACCTTACTTTTGGAGGGGACAGTAATTGATTAAACACTAAAATGTGTGGATCAATCAGAGGTCGTGTCTGTAGGATATAATACATCATACAGACCGTAGCTCTTGCTGGGCAGCGGTGGTATCCAGACTGTCCTCCAGCTCTGTGCGTAAAGCATTCAACTCCTCTCCGAGATCCCGCCGAGCCGCCTCCACCTTCCCCCTCGCTGCCCTCTCTGCCTCCAGGTCCTCCTGCAGTTCTGAGAGCAGTACCTCCAGCTCCCGAACCCGCTTCACCGCCGCCCCACGGTGATTGCTCTCCTCCTCCAAGCTGTAGACACAAAAAAGGTTCTAATTTACTTTCTAATATCTTTACACCGGACTCTTCATCTAACTTCAGGAGTTTCATTCTTGTCTGAGTGGAAATGTGTTTGAGAATCAAAGCGCTTCAATCACAAATTCACATCACAGGAGAACTTTTTTTGTGCCATTAGTGGGAATGACGTATAAAGGGCTAGCTACGACTAAGGGTACTGATGGCATGTGTTCAGTATTTCATGTTCGAAGACTGAAAAGACTGTTAAGCTTTATTTTAAAGGTCCCACACATCTTAATATGCTCGTAATGAACTTTATCGTTGTCATCTGAGGTGATCTTGTTTATATCTGTTCTGAATGGTCACACTTAAAGGGAGATTAAAACCAGTGCACACTTTCAGACACTCTTTTCTAGAAGGCATTCATGGCAGATCGTGGCGATGCACTTTAATGTTGCAGACCACAGGTTTTTTTGCATCCTTCAGCTGCACACCTGGCCAATTACAATTAAATGTTTTAATTGTTTGTTCACATGAACTTATGACCAGATTTCCATCTGGATCACGTGGATATTCGTGGTCGACAAAGGCTTAACCTTACTGTTTTTGGTGATCCTGTAGTCTTTTCAGTGGTGCAGCCCTTAAAACAAATATCTCTAGCGCCACCCTCAGGATAAACTCTGTTTTTAGGGCTCAAAGAATCACTAAATCATTACTGATTGTTTTATTTTTATTGTATAGTTGGCTGTTATGAACATCATACACGTAGTTCCTCTCACCGAGCCTGTGTGGCCTGGAGCTCCTCTTCCTTGGCGGCCAGCTGAGCTCGGAGCTCGTCTAGTTGGGCCTGCAGGTCAGCGTGCTGGTCCTGGAGGTCGGCCAACTCAGCCTCCACCTTCCTCTTGGCTTTCTCCATGTCCAGACGACCCTTCTCCTCCTTCTTCATACGCACTGCACACACACAGAGGAGGAACACACTCAACAGACTGCTTCATAAACGATTTTACAGGAGGTGTTTTTGGGACTCAAACTAATTATCTATCCCATTTGGTATCAAAGGCTCTTCAAGTCCTGCAAAGTCCTGTAAGTTCCGCCAATTAATATCACAGTCACCTTCACAACTCAATAAATCAAAAGTAGAGGACTTCAACATGAACTCTTTGCCATCCTAGAAGATTAATTCCATTTAAATTCAAAATTACAGGTGAAAATACTTTTTCGTTTTTACAAAGGAGACCAAAGAGTTCCAGAAATAACTCCTACTCTGAGCTTCAGCTTTAACTAACGTCCGTACACCTTATGATTACTTATGATTGTTTGTATTTATAGTGCAGTGTATTTGTATATTAGACATGAGCAGATGAAGTATTTTGGTTGTGCTGACTGACCCTCCAGGTCTGAGATCATAGACTCGTGTTTGGTCTTGAGTTTGGTCAGATTCTTGGACTTCTCCTCCTCCTCTGCCAGGTTGGAGCTCATGTCAGCCAACCTCTCCTCCAGAAGCTTTCGTTCCTGAAAAGGAAACAAAAGCACGCGAGTACAGAGTGTATCGTATATTAAACACCGACCTAATAAACAAAACTGCATCTTATTACCTTCTGCAGTTTGTTGTTCTGGTCCTCCATGACAAGAATGTCCTCCTCCATTTTCTTCACTTTTCCCTCCACAGCCACTTTCTCCAGCTGCAGCTTCTGCCGAGCGTCTTCTTCCTCCCGTATGTGGGACTCCATTAGCTGCAGGAAAAATAAACATCAAATAAAAGGAGCGCACATTTAAAAAAAAAACTGCTTACAGCTCAGGTACAATGGAATGGAAGCATGTAACTCAACTTAAAACTAATTCAACATGAAGATAAGACTCATTAAACCACAGAGTTGCAAACATTTGCTGCTGCTGTACATTATTACACCAGACATTTTTGATTATGTACAGTTCTGCTGAATTTGAGAAGATTAAAGTTATTAAGATGCGGAAATCGTTATGGTCATGATAAACACTGTCTTAACTGTTTATTATCTTCCTTTTAAATGTTTAAAATTTAAATATTTTAATGTTCGTATCTATAAGCACCTAGAGCACCATTTTGTGTATAAAAGGTACATTACAAATAAAGTTTATTATTATTATCATAACTATTTAATTACTTAGTTGTAATAATTGTAATTATTTATGGAATGAAAATGCCGGATGTTTGTTGGTTCCAGCATCTCAAATATGAGAATTTGCTGCGTTTCATGTGCTTAAAGCCCTTAATTTGTTTTGTTATACTTTATTGATTCAAGGGGAAATTTGTTTTGTTCTCTGAATTTAACACATCCTAATTCAGGGCCTTGCTCAGGGGCACCTTTGACAGTCGTTTGGCTGGACTCGAACCAGCAACCCTCCGGTTCCCAAACCAAGTCTCCCACAAACTGAGCTAATTAACATGCTCTGCACTCTTTGTGTTAATAATAATGTCTTTAGTTTTAATAATAATAATAATGATGTGTGTCTACCTGTAGCTGCTGCTCCATGTCCTTCCGCTCCTGCTGTAGGGAAAGGCTGCGATCCTCTTCCTCCTCCAGCCGGGCCTCCATCTCATGCAGCACCTCCTCCAGCTCCTGCTTCTTGGCCTCCAGCCGCACCCTCATCTCCTCAGCCTCGGCATACAGCTCCGTCTCCGCATGAAGCTTCAACTCGAGCTGGGCTCTCTCCTCCAGCAGCTACAAACACAGAATTCATTTTTTTATGAAAGTGTACTTTTAAGACGGTTAAAAAACTAGATAAAAACTAGCATTTATTTCACCTGCGTGTGTTTCTGGGAGATGTCCTTCAGTTCGGTCTCAGCCTTGGTTGCCATCTCTTTTGCTGCCTTTAGTTCCTCTTCTTTCTGACCCATTTCCTCTTCTTGTCTAGTGACCTGCAGCAGGGGCTTCACCTGAAGCGTCGACAGACACATCACACATCCACAAATCAAGCTTAAATTGTCTTTTCCTAACCTCCAGTCGAGCAAAATAATGTTTTAAATGTGTCCTGAAAAGGTCTCTGTACGATGGCCATTGTAGGACATTCAGAATCAGTTTTTCAGGGAGGTTAGCACTTAGCACTTGCTAAAGTTACACAAGACCTTAAATGGTTAGCAAGCTAATATGAACAACTATTGGATCTGAACTTGTAACACTGTTATCAAAGTTAAAACTTTGTATTAAATAAATAAAAATGTTAAATAGTTTTGAGCCCAAAAAGTGTTGCCAGGTGTACAATAATTATCATATTTGCACAATCAACACTTCTAAAAACCTGTAAATGTATGCGTGTGTGTGTGGGAGTTTGTAACCTTAGTGAAGAGCCTCCACCACTGCCAGTTCTTGAGTTTGAGGTAACAGGCGCAGTTCCTCTGGATGACCTTCATGGCGCTCAGCTGCTGCTGACGTTTACTGAAAGCCCTGGAACCATACATAAAGAAAGATTAAGTGTGTGTGTGTGTGTGTGTGTTTGTGTGTATGTACAGGTACTTTGTGCAGTGGGCCCCCAAAAGGCAGTAAGAGATATTAGGATACTCTTACTTTGTTCGTGTATCAGCATCCAGTCTAACTGTTTCTCTTACTTGCGACCCAAGAAGCCTCTTGCTTGTGCCTGGAAGGCGATGATGACGACGGTCAGTTTGAGGTCTCTCTCTTCCTCCAGCTGGGCCAAAACTCCCGTCCTGAAGAACATTTTACTCTGACCAATACGGTACAGGTTAGGATCCAGATCCAGGTGCTTTACCTGGAGGAGAGCAGATGAGGAGACAAGAGGAAAAGAAGTGGAGTGTGCTTAAAGCTTCTTGCAAGTTCACTGTCGTAATCCAGGTTTGTAGTCCGGTAGATTTCAGTACATTCCAGTTTTGGAAACTGTTGACATCCTCTCAAATTTCATTTAACACTGTATGTGAGTATGCGGGTCTGTAACACTGATACAGGTGATTTCTGACCATCAGTGGCATCATGAACCTTTGTCAAAACAAATTAGTTTTACTGGTATCAGCAGTAGTCTGTGTTAGTATTCCCTCCAGCTCACCATCAGACAGCATGCCTGCTTCCCATCCATGAAGCCTTTTGGGATGGCATTGGCAGCCAGAATCTCATATCTACAAACAAGAAAACACTTTACTGTAGAATGAAATGATGAGTAACACAATCTAGGTATGAGGTAAAAAATATAAATATGTTTAATTTAAGGTTAAAAAAGAGATATGGGTTATCTAATGCTTTTATGTCAGTTAAACTAAATTTGTAATAAATTTTGATGCTATTTGGATAAATCCAGACTTGAAATAATCAGATGGTGATTGTATATTATATTTATTTAAACAGATTCTGGATGAACTGAACTATGATTATTGTTATTGATACCTCTAAAGAATAATTATTAGTATAACATTTGAGGAATGTGGTCTCAGACAGCTCCCTCACCTCTGCCTGAACTCCTGGAACACGATGCGGTTGGGGAATCCCTGTCTGCAGATTCGGATGCCCTCCAGCACCCCGTTACACCTGAGCTGCTCCAGCACCAGGTTGGAGTCCATCTTCCCAGCCTGCAGCACAACCAGCAGACCAACAAGCACTGATTGCGTGTACAGACATCTCTGTGTAGACTGTCGCTTAACTTAAAACCATTTATGGATTCATTTGGCTTTGGCTTGAGCAAAACAAATAAACGTAGATGACCGACCCTCTTCTCGTGGTTGGGGATGATGCAGCGGACAAAGTTGGGCTGGGTGTTGTGCAGCGTGGTCATCAGCTTGCCCAGCGACTCCTTGTACAGCTGACCCACTGTGCGGAACATGCCTTTCTTGGATTTAGTGGAGCTGGGCACCGAACTCTCTGACATCTTGGTTATGGTCTCCAGACCCACCACTCGATCCACTGACATGGAGGAAGATTTACACCACATTTTGTTACTAGGACCAGAGATATTTGCGGTGAGATTTACAGTTGAAAAGCTACATGAGGACATGTTGCCCCGTCATGTGGTACTGACCGTCTTTCCACAGGTCCTGGATGAAGTTGCTGGAGGAGTTGTTAAGCAGAGCCGTCACATTGTCATTCAGAGGATCCATGTTCTTGGTCAACCAATTATCTGCATTATAGTCGACCTGGAAGTGTAGATGGAAGTCATGCTTGTTAACGGTGATCATGATAGCAAATAAAAAAAAAATAATCTAACGATAAAGCTGTCGTTAACTATATTTTTCTTTCTGTCAGTCCATCTATCAATACTTCCTGACTTCCTGTCTGTGGCTCAGCTCTGAGCCCATTGGTTCATACTGAAGATTTAAAAACATCTCACAACGGCTGCTCACTGTAGTTCTTTATGAATCCACATGTGGCGCTCTAGTGAGTTTGGGGCAGCAGGTCTGAGTCAGAATAAACTTCAGTGTGTGTGTTCATGGTGATTAAGGAACATGTGCAGCAGTGAGGCTCACTGATGGGTTTTAATGTTTTTGGACAACAATGGAGCTCTAAGGATCAGAGGAAGAAGAGACATCAGGCTTTGAGACAAACAATAGCTGTTAGTAGATATATTCATTGTCGGTTTTGGTCTGTTCATTGTTGACAATAAGAAAACAGAGAATATTACTGGCCTTATTGTAAACTAAACTATAACTGTTCCCCTTCAGTGATCCTTACCTTACCGGCGTAGTGCAGCACACTGAACATCAGTTTATCTTTGTGTTGTTTGGGTTTGGAGAATTTCACGTGACCGGTGTGGGTGTTCAGCAGCTTGTCCACGAAGGTAAAATCTGTGGCTTTGGGGAACCAGCACTCCTCGTCGAGCAGGGCCAGGATGCCTGGAGGGTTGTTCTGCAGGACAGTGAAGGACACAGATAATCAGTAGCAGTTATTTTTGATCAGGGTTAGCTCATTTGTCCACAGTTGGGTTTGCACGTGGGGACTGATACAGGCAGTGCAGGTAAGTGCTTTTTAAAGGTTGTAAATATGACTTTTTTGAGTTAAGAATAAAAGCATCACTTCTTGCTTGGCTTGTTCTTACAGGTGTAGAGTACATAAACAGAGCCTGTTTTTTGCATTTGATACGGTGTCTTTCTTCTGCATTTAACATTTGTGCAAATCTGCCTTATAATTGTGGGCCCCGATTCACTATAAATATATCTATAAATAATTAGTCATTTCAGGCCATGCATGTGTGGGTGCAGTCCGTCCTGACCGGCCTCTCGATGAGCTCAATGCAGGGCTGCAGGTCGAGGCCGAAGTCGATGAAGTTCCACTCGATGCCCTCTCTCTTGTACTCCTCCTGCTCCAGGACAAACATGGTGTGGTTGAAGAGCTGCTGCAGACGCTCGTTGGTATAGTTGATGCAGAGCTGCTCAAAGGAGTTGTCCTGAAGCAGAGAAACGTTGCAGTGATTAGAACAACAACCTAAATACAATGAAACAAACACTCAAAGTATTTAAATGTTTGTTTTAAATTCACCTCAAAAATCTCAAAGCCAGCAATGTCCAGGATGCCCAGGAAGGAGGTCGACTGCCTCTTACTCTTGTCCAGCGTCTTGTTGACTCTGGCCAGGATCCAACGAAACAGGCGCTCGTACATGGCCTTAGCCAGAGCCTCCACCGCGAAATCAGCCTGGAGGAGGAGGATGTGGGTGAAGGGTGAAGAGAGACAGTAAAATTATTTGTTACGATTCATTTTGGGATGATAGTGATGCGACAGAAGGGTTAAACAAACACTTCTTCAAGCTCAGAGTAGGACATTAACTATGTACATTTACTCAGAGCCTCAGATACTTTGAGTATTTCCATTTTTCCTCCACCATATTTCAGAAGTAATTATACTAGAAGAGCCTTTATTTTCTGAGTTAATGAGGTTTGGTTTGCTGTCACCTGCTGCTTGGTCTGCGCCTTCTGCACCACCTCTCTGCCCACTTTAATTCGGGGGTGAGGATGGCGCGGGTGAAGTCGGTGACATTGATGCCCTGCAGGTGACACACCTTCTGGGCGGCTGGGGTTGATGGGCAACATGACACGGGAAAGGTCAGAGATGTTTACAAGGTCAATTACAATGCTGGTGTTGGTATTTTTTAAAAATGGTTACCCGTGTTGTCAGGCATGGTCGCCTGCTCACTGTTCCTCTCCTTCTCAATCTTGACGTTGCCCAGCTGGAGAACAGTGGACACCACCTTTAACATCCCTGCAGCGAGGAACAGGAAAGTAAGAGTGACATTTAAAATGATGTTACAAATGTACTTAGAGTTTTTTGCCTGAGCCAAATGATGAAATTATAAATATCTTCTAGTACAGAGTCCTGATCATATATTTCTATTTTCTAACACAATACAGCTGCACAGTTAGTATAATCAAAGACTTTTCAGTAAGATGTGCTGGGCAGCTGCAGAGCTCTCTTTGAAATGTTTTTTATGTGTTCAGGGAGATAGGAAGTGTGGATCTGTTATGACAGGAGTAGATTTGGAGAACATTTGGACAGCTTCTCTTTGGTTTTCCAGTGATTTTTCTTTCCCCACTCTTTCCTGAAATGAATTCAATTTGATTCTGAACTGTGACCTTAAGATAATTAATCATAAGATTATGTTCATTCTAACTTCCTGATGTTGTTCTTTCATATTCCTGAGGGTTTTTTTTGTGGTAATATTCTCAGTAGAACAATAACTTCTTGTCTTTAAGGCGGAAAAAAGGTAATTTAGAAAGTGTTTGGGTGGATGGACAAATGGTCATTTATGAGACCTACTGAGCGAGCAAAGTGGGTTCAAGTAAAGGGTTTCGATTGTGACGTTGGTTCTGGTGGGCTCTGAGCAGTTTGTACCTAGTCTCTCCTCCTCGGTGAAGCCCATGATGTCCATGGCCTCCAGAGTCTCATCAAACATCTCGTCATCTTCCTGACCGGAGATCTCCACGTGACCCGCCAAAAGGAAACGATAGCTGCCGAAGTCCTCCAGCAGAAGCTCCTCTAAAACACACACACGCAAACACACCAAGTGAAAGTTTTGATGATACCTTTTGTTTGCTAGTTGTCAGACCCAAAGCTGATAACCTCAACATCATTTTTCATCTTCTACAGAGATGTCCAGGGGGTGATGTCCAGATGGCGCAGTGGATAAGACACATCGGTTCAATTCCCCACTGTGACACATCCACCATTGTGTCCCTGAGCAAGACACTTAACCCCTGGTTGCTCCAGAGGCGTGCGACCTCTGACATATGTAGCAATTGTAAGTTTTTATTTTTATCCTTAGCTTATAGACTGAAAGCCGGGGCAACCTGCAGGCCTAGCTTCATCAAAAGTGAACAAACACGCATTCAAAAAACATGAAAGATGTATTTGCTGTGCAACATGTATATTTACTGAAATAGAAATAGAAATGTAACAAGATGACGAATGTACAGGCTCTAGAGCCAGCATGGCTAAAAACGAGACTGGTTTTATCAGCAGTTTGCATTGGAGCCATCTTTGGTCCAACAACAGCTGGGTGCAGTGACAACATGTAGCATCTTCCTGTCCACGTGGGCGGGTCGACAGGTTTGTAAAATGTCTTGAACAAACCTGAATGGATTAACATGTACAGCAGCTTTGTGAAAATAAGAACAAATAAGTCCAATGTAGAGTTTTTCAAAGGTATTCTTTTTTCGATTTAATGCTAAGCTAGCAGTTCCCATAAGCCCATAGGCGGAAATAGTGGGGGACCGTGGGGGGGTCACCCCAATAACATAAAAGTGTGTTTTAAGTTTATAGAAAAATTTTGAGTACCCCCTCCTTTGCCTCAAAATGGTTTGGTCCACTGCCTACTTCCCCTCTTTACATCACCAACACACAGTCCATAGGGAGAGAAAGTTTGAATCGCTTCAGTAGTTGTGGAACTCCAGTAACGTTTAGTAGGCTGGCACGGCTGTTTTATTCACTTGAAACATCAGATGAAGTGATTCTTTCTCTTTAATACAGAGGATGCAGAGTCATTAATAAATTAATATAAATTAATTAATAAAATCATGACAAAAAAATATGATAACTGATGTATTTTTCCTTGAGTCCTATGTTACCTATTGTAATGTAACCTAGTTTGTTTGGTAGCCTTTCTAATAGCTTGTTGATAGTAAGTCACCCACTACAGCTAGAGATGTGCCAATCGATCTCCTCTGGACTGGAATAGGCTGCTTTTCAGCTAATTTGGCCGTGACTGACCAATGGTAAAAAGACTAGGTACATATTATACATATATGTATGTAATATTATCCATATTACACTACTAATAGCAGTAAGACTTCCCTCTGTGTACACATATCCTGCGCAATTACAACTTTGGCTTTATTATTTGTGGCCCCTTTTTTCGCTTGAGAAAGTTTATGTTTATTGCCCCCCCCCAATGGTTAGATGAAATTTACACCCTTGTCCCTGCCTTCAGTCTTGATACAGAGCTAGGCTAAACAGACCTATTTTAGTACCAGATGTTTTATCTTACCTCACTCTGGGTAAGACAGCTAAGCTACAATTTCCTTGATATTTTATTTTCACTCTATAAACCCATCTTACAGTAAAAATAGTGTTTTTATCTTGCTCATATTGTAGCTGCTCACCCCTCAGCTTGTCTTTGGCCCCTGCCACCATGTAATAGAAGATGTGAAAGGCTCTCTCAGTGTTGGCCTGACGAATACAGCGAGACTTCTCCAGCAGGTCTGTTCGGGTCAGGAGAGGGTTAAGTAGATAACCATGTCTGTTTTCAGTTACAGTGGCACTAGGCATATTATTTTGAGATCATTTTTATGTTATTTTTAACACATTTGATCAAAAGGATACAGGTGTCAATATTAGCCCCAACAAGATAGCCAGTCACATCAAAGTTGAGCTTGATGAACTTGCCCTGTGGACAGAGGAGACAACAGCAGCTACATGACACCATTAACTACTGTGGTGAGTCAAAGTCAAAGCGCTGACTTAGAAACAGATTAAAAACTTACAAATCTTGAGGAGTTATCGTTCTTGATGGTTTTGGCGTTTCCAAACGCCTCCAGGATGGGATTAGCCTGCAGCAGCTGCTTCTCCAGCTCCCCCTTCAACCCATAACAAGGTTACACACATTTTTACTTGCTTGAACCATAAATCTATTGATCCACTCCAGACTGTATAGACCTCAGCTGGCAGGCTTTTGACCAGAACAAAGAAACGTGATCACATCACTCCTGTTTTAGCCTCTTTAAACTTTTACAGAAATTCACTGTTGCTTTAAAAGATCGTTGCCTCTCGCCCTGCTTATATCTGACCTTTTAGTGATTATATTTAAATAAAATTTTCGTTTTACTGTATTTTCATTCCATGGTTTTTATCTGCCTCAACTCTTTTTCTGGTTTTTAACTGTGTTTTATATTTCTGCCCTTGTGAAGCACTTTGTAACATGGATTTTGAAAAGTGCTCTATAAATAAATGTGTTGATTATTATTATTATTGCACTATATTAGGGCTGAACAATGAATCGAAATCTTATCAAAATCGCAACGTGAATCGCAACGTTTTGATAAGATTTGCAGTAGTCGTTAAAAGCAAAATGTGTGTCAGAAATCCATCCATCCATCCATCTTCAACCGCTTATCCTGCCTACAGGGTCGCGGGAACCCTGTAAAATACTATTTTGAATTAAATATTGTTGTGCTGCAGAGATGTCCTGGTCTACAAAAATTATTCTACAATAAAAAATAAATTGTTTGGTGCAGATCCTTGCAAATATACCATAATCATTTAAATATGTTCATGATCGTTCCCTCGATATTATGTGTATCTATCTATTCTGTGTATTTAACAGTAGACATGCACATGACAGCCGATAAGCACGTTAAATTGAATACATACATACCAAGATGTAAGACTGACACATTCAATTTTAAGTAGTGTAAAAGAGTTTACACTTACGTAGGCCAGAGATCCCCCCTGCTGCTGTGGCGGCTGCAGAAAGACACAGGAACACAAACTGGTTAGAAACTCAATGAATCTTCAACTTACTTGTCTTCTTTTTAAGAAGGTACTACATTTAGCATCTCCCCAAAATTGGCTGCCCGCATGACAGCTTGAAAAGCAGCAGAGCAGCAGGACCAGAGGTCAAGCATCATTAAACCTTAAAACTAAACAAACCACAGATAGTTCTTCACTGGATTATATGCAGCTGAGCGAACAGCAGCTGTAACTTGTTGGAAAGATATGAAGACTTGGCTCAATGGTCATTTGTAAGTACGATCATTTTCCATTCCCTGCACCTGTTTTGCTGAAATCGCTGCTATTTTATGATTTAAAAAGAAATCTTCAGTCATAGATGTGAGAACAATTAGAAGCTCCAGCAGCAGCAGACGCACAGACAACAACAATCTGTCCTCACCTTGACCACAGCTGCAGCCACTGAATCCTGTCATGCACAGTAGAATATGTGATTTAATATTTTGTGCTCTGATACAGTGTAGTTCATCACATTTAAATGAGTTAGTACAGTTTCAAATGAAGGCTCTGTCTTTCATATGATAGTAACCAAACTTTTAGCGGTTAAGTTTGCTAAAATGTGGAACAGCTTCAAGCTAACATCACAACATACGTAACATTTTATTTATTATTACACTGAGGAAATTCATTATGGAGCCGAAGATACTTCCAGCAAAAACAATGTATAATGCATTTAAACTGAAACTGACACACATAATATATTTGTTGGCTAAAAACAAACATGACCACTGCAGAGATACACTGTAAAGCACACAATGTTAATTTAATTAGTTTTCGATTAATTCATACTGTGTACAATTATTCCTTGGAATACCGTAAAACTTCAATTAATAGCCCGAGCTTTTATTTGCTTAAATCTAGGGCTGGGCGACATGGCCAAAAATGTTATCACGATAAAAACATTTCATATCATTCGATATCGATAATTATCAGGATGAAAGTCAAATCATTTCTTTCAAGTTTAAAAGCAGATTTTTGCTCCTGAGTGAAAATTATTATATTATAACTTAATTATGTGTTTAAACTTCTTTATGGTCAGAATGTGACAAACACTTGATACAGTGGATCACTTCACAAATCTGAGTTAGCACATTCAAAACCATTATCTTTTCCAACAAATATGATTAGTTAATCTTTCAGGCCTCTTTTCCTCAACAAAATTAATATTTTAATAGACAAATGAAGTGCTAATTTGTTTGTTTCAAATGAATATAAGCAAATGTTTATTGACGATATATTGAATATTTATTAAATTGTTATTGAGGAAAATTATATTATTGATAATCATCATTATTGTTTTATTGCCCAGCCCTACTTAAGTCCCTGAACTCACCCTGCCTATATCTGGGAAAGGCCTTTAATCCTTTCCCACAAATACTCTTTCTCAGCAAAATGGTAAATAAGCTCCTATTACTTTGTTTGTTTCAACCAGAATGAATATTATTTGTATAAAAATATGAATCATTCATTTGATCTAGAGCGAGAGAAACATTTAGACTGCCGTAGAAAGGGATGAAGCTATTTGTGTTAACAAGCATTGAACAGTTGTACCTAATACAGTGGCCGGAGAGTGTTGCTGACTTTATGACTGCTTCAAAATAAACTTTTGTTTCCGTAAAATGAACTGTATGACTGAATTGTGGAGAATCTAACTGATCCTACGATATGTAGCATCTCCATAATGACATTTGTTTTTTAAAAATTATATGTGTATGCACGATCTAAGCAGCTTAAGAGGTTTTATACACCATAGAACTTATATAAAAAACAGACCCAGCATCGAATTGGGACTCTGCTTTTAACTTAAAGTTTTATTTTCTCCATGAGCAATGAATTTCATGCCATCATAAATTTATTTTAATTAATTTGATAGCTGATAAAGTTAGTGTGGAAGCTGGTAGTATTTGTTCAGAGCACATTATCCTAATAATGTGTTAATATTGTTTATATTCCTATCATTTTATAGCTGTAGTTCCTAGTACTGTGCAAATTGAGATCTTAAACAAAAAGTATGAAATGTTCTTCTTCACATTACTTCTTGAAATTAGCTCCTAAAACAGCTACAACATTAAATGTGCGTACATTTTATTGCATCAACTAATTAATCGAATAGTAGAATTTATTATTATTCTACTCACACTGCATATGAGTACTTTTACTTTAAGGAGTATTTTTACCTTGGGAAAGATGTAAGCCATGGGGAAGAGGTAAGATTGTTATGAGTCTTTGAAAGAGTCAAATCACTACTAAGAAAATATTGGGCAGTTACACCATGTCTAAGTCTGACGCTGTGGCGTTTTTGTTCTTGAAATTCATCATTGTGATATATTTAACTTCTATTTGTCATTTGTTTTGTTGGATGTAATTATTACTTGGCTGCTATGTACTGCATATCCAGTTTCAAGAGCAATCTTTAAACATTGCTTGAAACATCTCGATGGAGTTTCTGAAGCCGTTTCTACTCACAGGATTCGCGTCCTTCTGCCTTGTGTGAGGAGGGACGACAGCCAGGTACTGAATCACCTTCTTGGTGTTTCTGTCTTCCCCGCTCCAGACTCACCTCGGGTGACGTGGGAGAGGCGAGGCGGATGAAACATATGGAGAATAAAAGAGAGAGAGAGACAAAGATTATAATAGAGAGCAGTTATTTGTTTTTTTTTTTTTCCATTAGAAGCTAAAATGTCAAAAACTCATTTCAAATGTGAATTTGCTTGTTTTATTTTGTCTTCTATGATAGTAAACTGAGTTTTGGTGGGTTTGAACTGTTGTCTGGACAAAAACCATCATTTTCAATATGTCAGGTTGAGCTTAATTTATATATCTTTATTTTCTGCAATTTTATAGACTGAGAGTAATCAGTTATTTGAAAACTCCCTACAACATACGTCACTCTTTTAGGGTTTAAGGTTAGTTTAATTCTCAGGGAATGAATGAAAGTGAATGCGGGGGGCCCCTTAAGTGATGGAAACAAAATTGTGGGCTCAGCATGGCACAATGTGATGGAAATGGTTAAGGGTTGTATGTTTTCACTCACGTGCAGAGAATTGATGATCCTCACGGTCCGGAGAAAGAGAGAGAGAGATTTAAAAAGGGGGAAATAATGTGAAATGTGACTTAGCTGAACTCGTTAGTTGAAGCCAAGTTGAACAGAAAACATGAACTCTGAAGCGGTGCCGCTCAACTCGGACACAAGCGCAAACGGCTCTGAAATCTCGTTCAGGGGGGAGATTAGCCTCCATCACTCATAACGTCTAAATAGCAGGTGGATGCTGGGCTCCATTGCTGTAATCTTGTCTCCCTGCTACATGTAAGGCCATTCTGGAGGCTGAATGGAAAGTTGGTGAGGTCACTGGTGGACCATCAAGAGACGAGACAGCAACTCTGAGGCTTCACTCAGGGCTGCTCGCTGCCACCACTCAACTTTTATCTAGTAACTTTCATTTGGTAATTGTATGTGTGTGAGAGTGTGCGTTGTGTGTCTGCTGTTTGTTAAGTACTGTGAGAAATTTTAAATGTTTTTAGTTACACTGTTCAATACACTTGGTGTTGACACATTTGTTTGGAGGCATGTTGTGCCGTAAATCAGGAACTGGAGAGCAGCAACAACAGCAGTAGTAGCAGTAGTAGTAGTAGTAAC